GCTTTGTTTCCAGGCTTGGAAGCAGCCTCTTTTAAAATCATTCCTCTGCTTATAATCAAGACTTGTTCCTGTCAGATTTTGATCACTTCTGCCTAGGTTAGGCACTGGGATGGGTGGGTGACAGTCACTGCTGCAGTTGCACACCGCTCGTGCGCTCCTGGCACTCGAAGCCAGGCTGCTTCACTGTTTCCACTGCGACTGCAAAGGCAGGAGAGGAGCTGGGAACGAATGGAGCGATGCAGAGTCGAGGAGGGAGGGGTTTGGTGGCTGGGCTGGAGTTAGTCACAGCCGACTTCCATTTCCAGATCATGAGGAAGGACTCAAGCCATTTTAGGCATTTTCTTGGACTTCTTCCTCAGCTTTTAATTGAAACACCCAGGAGGGACGGAGGAATCCAAGGGCCCATTCTGCACCAATATGGGATACTCCTACACAAGCACAGACGCACTCACCCTTCATACTGTAGCGTCAGACCACTGTTATTAGCCCTTGCCTTGGCTCCTTCGCATGGGAACAGGAGATCTTCCACACATCTCACCTGGAGTCTTGATATACTCCTCTGTGAATAGAGAGACACTCACCTCAGTGCAAATAATTTTGAAAGATTTTTCTTTCAGGGGCTAAATGTGCCAGGATGGATTGAATTTTTTAAACAAAACACATTTAATTTCTAAACCCTGAGGTATAGAAATATACATATGTATTTATACATATTTATCGGTCACATACATGTCACGTATATGAAGACACATGAGCCAGCAAACTGCAAAATCACAACAGGCCTCGGGCACCTCTGTTTCTTTTCGGTAGGAATTCAGATGCCTACATCTAGCAAAGCAAACAAGAAAAACACCACACCTGTACAGCTGCCAAGACAACCGGCACATCCAGCCACAGACTTTTCACTATGCTACTCACTCTGGTGGTTTAAGGTTTGCATCTCCCCTTCTCCACCAGCACCATCCTTTTTGCCAGTTTGGGACATCACCACCAAGATGTCCTGGGGGAGGTAGACAGCAGGCATGCCAGGAGCATGTCCAGGCAGAATTCCTTCTGTTCATTGTTGTGGGGTCCATATTAAAACCTTTTTTTCTCTTGCTGAGACAACTGCTTTTCCTTTGTCCAGAGGAACACAGTGCCCTGGTTGCCCAGGGAAGCTTCTCCTGGGGTTTGGTGCTTGGCCCTGCAGCACCACACAGAATGACCACGGCTAAACCTCTTCCTGCAGGGCCAAAACAACACCTGCACAAAACATTTACTCATCACACAAACAATGGTGAAAGAACCAAACTTTCTGTCATTTTGTGATGCCAGCTGTGCCTCTCACACTTTGTGAAGCCGGTTTGTAAATAGCAACCAATTTGCAGTCGTATAAATACTGACAAAAAAGGAGTAATGTCAGCCTTGAAGCGGTTACTTTTCTGACCATTAGAAAATCTCTCTATGCTCCCCTAAAAGTTACCTAAATGTTTCTCTAGCTCTAATGAAAGACAAACAAGTCCTTGCTGCCAAAATACTGGGCCAACCACAACTTTGACTTCTCACTGGGGTCTGCTGGTGTATGAAAGTTTTTTAATGGCCGGTCCAGACATGCCAAAAGCTTTAAGCTTTAATCCCAGATGGTTGCATCCTTATTGCACTGCCTGCGCTGGACCAGGCAGCCAGCCCTCCCCTGACATTCCATTGACAGGCTGTGTCCACCTCTATGCATTTAATCTAGAACATGCTCTCCCATGCCTGTCCTGACATCAAAGGGAAGACATTTGAGATGGCAAAAGAGGTTGGAGTAGTATTGCAAAATATCACAAATGGACTCATAAATCAGCTCATACACCAGCCCTGCTCTGCAGAAATCATCTTGCTAGGGCTTCAGACAGCGTGAGAGCACCAGGAGGAGAAGTATGGAGGGCCCATTACAGATTCTGCCTTCTTGCTGCTCCCTTAATGGCTTTTAATAGCATAACACTAGCAGGGGCTGATGCACAGGCCTCGTGCATGGGGCAATCAGAGGATGCAAACAGAAAGTCCAGGGCTGCCTGATGTTGGTGTCCCTTGCTAGAAAAGACCAAGAGAAAGAAAACCTCACAGGCATTGAAACTTGAGAGTTCATGAAAGAATTTCTGGGAAGAGAAGTGTTAAACCCATATAAATTAGGAAGGTAAGGAACCGAGGATTAACCCTATTGTTTTAGGCAGAGTTGCCACATTAGAATGGATTGGCTTTTAGTGTTGTGGTTAATTATTGACTTCTATCTGGGTCTAGAAGGAAAACAGTTGTGGAGGGATTGCCTTTTCTGGCATGCCAAAAAGCCAAGAAAGTACAAGATCTTCTTAGAGAAAAGCAGGGAAAAAATAACAAAAGAAAAAGAAACAAGCCAACCAGACCTATATTTCTTGTGGAAAAATTTTCTTCCATGGCAACTGTAAAAACAGCTCAGGTTGTGTTGATTAACTAAATGCATTATCCTGTGAACAACAGGGTCCCATTAGCTCTCTCAGGCCAATACCCTCTGTTCTGAAAACCTCTCGATTCAGTTAATGTCTCTGCTGCAGAGTAAATTCCTGCCTGACCCTATCAACAAATCCCTTTATTATCTTGAAGCATGAAAACTAATAAATCAGACAAAAATGTTATATTTTTTTCCCTTTTTGCATTTTGATTGCAGACATCAAACACCACATTGCAGTTCAGCATAACGTTGTGGCAAATGAAAAAGAAGTAATTAAATACCATGTTAAAAAAAAACCAGCAAAGGAAGGGAAGGTACAACAGAAATAAGTGTATTCTGCTCTTTATAAGCACATGTGTTGACAATGGATTTGTATCCGTGGGACAATTCAGGAAACAAATGAGAAGATAAGTTTGGGGTTTAAGCTCACCAGATCTCAAAGCACATTGTTTATACCTTCTGCAGTGCAGTAAAGCTTATCAAGAACTTTCTCATTGGATATCAGAGTCAAAAGAAGTAGGAGGAATGTGAACAGCATGCTTCCTCCGGGTCGTTACAGTATCTCTACTTCTTTCAGCACAGATTTCTCATGTTAGCTTGAGCTCCATCTCACAATGACCATTTTTAGCAGATCATTGTAAATATAGTGCTGACCTGACCAAGTTGTTCAGAAATTTGCCATCATTTCACTCTCTACAAGCTCAAAACATGTGGCAAGTTCAAGGGCTCTTACTTAAAAATATACTTTCATTCTAGAACCTCTTGCTTGCATCCCTGTAATACTCTGGGATAAATCAAGTGCTGATGTAAATGCATTAATTGCAGTGTAATTTCATTTAGAAGATACAAGAGTACTGCATTTTCATTTAACGATTCAAATGTGCTTTCTGTAAGGGGGAAATCACCTCCCTGTTACAGACAGGAGAGCTGATTTTAGGAAGTGAAAGGCAGCACTTTGGCCAGTCATTGGTAAAGCTGGGAGAGCACGCAAGCCTCTCGCTCTATTCCACGTTTGTGCTTCCAGCATGAACGGAATATGAAAACATTGCATGAAGATACATGCATCTCAGAGCACAAGATCTGGCTCTACCTCACCAGGCTGAAAGCTGTGGTATTCCTCAGCAGAGTGTACCTCTACCCCTCTCTTATAAGGAGAGGTCAATTTTTGTCTTTCTCTGTTTCATTCTTGCAAGGAGAGACTGGATGGCAAGTTTGCTAGGACTATAATGTTGCATTTGCTAATGAAATAAAGTGGTCTTTTTTGGAGAACTTCTTTTAAGCAAAACCATGTGTTCCAGGGAGGAAACATTCTTCTGGTAAACAGCTGAGCCCTTAACATTTAGCAACATAACTCTGTGTTTGCAGCTATTGAACACTGTGTGACTGAGGAGGCCTGCGTTTCTGGGAAGAAGGACTGAAAGCATTTTGCTTGCTGTCAGAAAGCCAGCCCTTTCTTTTATGTATACGCTACATGCAAGAACCAGCTATTGGCTGGTTACTTCTTATGGTTTTAATAAAATTTGTCTCGTATCAAGACGCTGCTGGGTTTTCATATTGACACCGCGCTGAGCAATGTTCTCTGCTCCAGCACAGCTGGCTCTTGCTTTCCAAAAATATAGCAGCGCTCTGGCATTACTTGCAAAAATTGCAGCCTTAAATAATTTCCTCACCCGTCTGACCTGTGCAAGGAAGGACCCTCCACATGCAGATCTCCCCTCTGGTTTGGAGAAGGGGGTCCTTCCTCCTTCGCTCCCCAGGAGCGGTGCTGTGAGAGCAGAGAGCTGCAGTGGCGGAAGGTAACTGGGGAACAGGAGAAATTACCTGCCAGACCCAAGCAGCAGCCCTGGGAAGCTAAGGAAAAAAGATAATACAGCTGAAAACTGCAGGCAGAAGCAGGAACAGAAGATGGGAGTGCCCCATCCCTGGCTCCTGCTCCCCACATCTGAGTCCACCTCTGTCAGAGATGCTTGCACAGCCACAGGGCTGCAAGGGCAAATCCTGCTGAAGGAGAGCAGAGAAGCTTCAGTTACTATAAGTGATTTCCAGAGAGGCATTGGCCGAGTGACTTTGAGATCACACACTGCTTCTCCATCCAGCAGCTGGAATTGAAGGCCACAGCCTTTGCTCCCTCTGAGCTGACGGAGATGATTCTTTTTCTGCCTGCTCATTTCACTGAAGCTTGGATGCTGAGCTCTGGGTGTCACATTGATCCTTGCAGTACAAGAGGATTGTATCTTGTTCCATGTAGCACTCAAAGCAGCTGGGCATGCTTACCAATTTCAGTTAAGTACCAGCTAAGGTCAAAGGAGATCCCATCACAGAAGTTCAAGGCCCTGCCTTCCTCTTCTTACTTCTTTCCTGAGCAGATTCTCATTTTAATCAGACTTATGGTACTTTCATCCAGTTATCTCAAAGTACATAATGACTGCTGTAATTACTAGCAATAATGAGCTAATCAGTTCTTCTAGGTACTATTTTCAAGGGATAAATAGTGCTATGCTTGCTGTAAGAAGTGAAAAACTGAGGCAAGGAAGAGCAGTTGTTGGGTAAATAGCTTTGGTTTACTTTTAATAGTGTAATCTTTTCCCGGTTTTATTTGTATAGCTTTACATGTTTGCTTCATAGTATGTTCTGCATTCTATTATTGCTTTCCAGTAATTTAGTCTGTTATTGTTTTGGCAGATAGCATTTAGAAACAGTTGGTTGTGTGAATGTACTAAGGTTCACTTAAGAAAACAGCAGTGTTTTTAGAAAAATTAACAGATGCTGAAGAGGTTTTCTTTTTTGTTGTTTATATATATATATATATATATATATGATTTATCTTTTTTTTTTTTTTCCTGGGTTTTCCTTTTTTGTCCTCCTTCTCTTGTTTGGATGACCTTCATTTTTAGGAAAAAATATGAGTAGAATTCTTTCCTATTTATTTTCCCTATACTCCAGCTTGCATTTAAGTCTCTAACATGGAAGGATAACTGAATATGTCTTTCTAATACGTAAAGAACCAAGATATTCTACCAGTTATGATGCTTGTAAGGCAGAGGTATGGTCTTACTAATATATTAGTTAATTGCTTGTATCTGTAATTCATATTCAGAAGGCATATGTTGATTTGGCAGCATTTAGCAAAGAGTATTGTTTCCCACAGCTAAAATAAGCTTTCCTGAACTTCTTTGAAGGGTAGATAGATAGGTACTCGGAGCAGAGGGGAAGCTGCCACAAAAAAAAAAAGGACATTATTTGTTTGTCAGAATTTTCTGGAACTTAACAAAACTGACTGATCCATATGATACTCTATGGAGTAGCAAATAACTAACCAGTTATTTAATTTTTATCTCTCAGGCTGTGCTCCAGCAAGCACACATGTGCTTAGTTTTACTATGGTGAGTAGTACAGTGTGATTTCAGTGGAACTATGTGCTATATAAAACTAAGCACACATGTAACTATTGGTAGGATTAAGTCTCCAGATAGGAACCAGTGTCACGAAACTCTTATTTGAAACATCTGCTTTGCTCTAAACTTGTTTAGTAAGGGCCTGACATTTAGGTGTTTATGTGCACCTTGGTGTCTTTATAAAGCTGGCACTAATTCCTTATTGAACAGTAGATTAAGGGCCTCTAGAAAGTCTGAAAACCTTATATAGACTTAGTTCAATCAACTTTCAATTCTAAGGAGACTTAAAAGTAAAGTTAGTCTCAGCTGTGTTTAAAAATGCTTCACAAGCAAGGCGAAGTCAATCTGACAAAATAAATAAATTGAGGTAATATAAGACTTATGTAAGTGGAATATTTGGTGGGATTTAAGTAGCAATAAGAGGCAAAAAACTGGGAGGACCATAACATTGTTTCTAAGGTGACACTGTTGGTTTTGATGCTGCAAGCTCTGACAGCCTTAATTCTGAAACTTTATGCTCTCCAGACTGTTCTCCTACTGCTTAGTTGCTCTTTCAAGGCCCCCTCCTCCTCTCTTCTAAAAAATACAGATTTGCACACTACCTATGGCTCCATGAGTTCTCCAGCAGGCTAATGCATGTACAATCTTTAAGCACTTTTGGAGCTGTTTGACTGTAACCCTGTTTGTGTTTTCCCTTTTGTGCTGGGGGACACAAGAATCTTGCTTGAAATAAAGCCCAAACAAGGGAAGATAAAGGGTGGGAGTATGTGAAGGAGCTGGTGGATAGCTGTTACAGGGCTGTGAACCTCTGCTCATACCTTCTCTCAATGTGCATTTATCCTGCTGTTTAGGCTAGACTCTTCCCAAATACCTGCTTTGGTTCTTGCACACAGTATTGTGTAGAGCTCAGGTTTGAGGGTGGGCAAATAATCCTGCTGCTTTTTCCATCAGACGCATACTAGGGCCTGCATCTCCCTTCCATTCCCATTCTGTGATGGTGTATGGCCTGAAAGAGCCCAAACACACCAAAGGGAAAAGCAGGGATGAGGTATTTCCTCACTGACCAGTCCTTAAAGATTTGAGGAAAACTCTTGGTGGGTCAGTAATGCTCACTAAGCTCTGAAAAGGCTCAAAGGCTGTGAAGGCTTTTGGATGGACCATGCAAATACTACCTGTCCCTACCTGCAGCCTAAGGGTCAGCCTATGCCCAGCCTCAGGAGCACGGGGCCGGTTTCAGGACATTGCTATACCACATTAATATACCTCCTGCCTTCTTCCCCAGGAAGATACGGCATCAAGTGTGGGGTTTGTGGATTCATGGCATAAACTGGAGGTGGCGGTGGTGTTAGTGTGGCTTTCATTTATCTTTTGTAACGCAGATGGAAACCCGCGGCAGCTCTCCCATCCAGAGTGAAGCAGTACGCAGGGTGTCTCCGGGTTTCGTTCATTCACCGCCCACCGGCCGCTGCGGGTCCGTGTGGCCCCCCCGTCTGGTTGCCGGAGGACGGGGATGCTGCGCCTCACCCGCGCTTCACCCAGGCCGAGGACGGGGGGGGGGGGGGGGTGAAGGGGAGGAGGCCGCACTGCCCCGGGGCCTGACAGAACTGCCATGTCTGTGGCGCAGCAAGGCCCGGCACCGGAGGCGCGCCCCGCCCCACCGCCAAACGGGGAACCCACCGGGCGCCCGCACCCTTCAGGGAGGGAGGGCCGCGGAAGCCCGCTCCGCCGGCCGGACCCCCACGCAGTGGGTACCGAGCGGTGAGGCGGCCGCCCCCCCCCAGTCCGGCACTTTTCGGCCGACAGAAAAAGGCGGAGGAAGAAGGAAGGACGACGGAGCCCCTTCTTTATTACTTAAACCCCCTTTCGCCTTAAGGGGCAGGGCCAGGGGAGTTTGCGGAAGAGCCCGGCCACACGCGGGGTGCTGATTGGAATGCCGCAGTCTCGTGACGGCGGCTGGGCGGTTCCAGAACCTGAACCCTACCCCCCCTACCCCCCCCCTTCGCCGCCCGCCCAGCGGCACGCCAGCCCCCCGCGTTCCATTGTGTGCGCCAGCCCCGCCGGGCCCCGCCCCCAGGCCTAGCCCCGCCCCCTTTTCCTCTTGGCTCATTTCCGGCCGCCGCCGCCGCCGTTTGCTTCCCTCCGAGGACTCGGGAGAGTGAAGAAACAACAGCCGCCATTTTGTTTGTGTGTGAGCGACTGAGGGAGGGAGCGATACCGAGAGGCCGAGCCGGACGGGGCGAGCCAGGGGGAGGGCAGCGCAGAGAGACCCAGGGGCCCGGACAGGGGACGGGGAGAGAAGCGAGGAGCCGAGACGCCCGCCCCCCCCACCCACCCTGCCCGTCCCCGCTCTCTTCTCTCTTTTTGCTTTCCTCTCTTCTCCTTTTCCCCGACTTCTTTCTCTTCCCCCGCTCCCGCTTCTGCCCGCTCCGCCACACACGTCACAACAGCGGCCGCAGCCGGGCCGCCGCCGAACGCCAGGCAGGGGCAGTAGGGAGCCTGCGCTCGGCCCCCGCGCTGCTTGCGCCGTCCCGCCCCACCCCCCCCCTTCGCCGTGCAGCGCCGGGGACCCCCCTCCCAGCCATTTAATTTAACCCACCCCGGGGCCAGTCCCCCGCCCTCCCCCGGCGTGGTTTTTATTCTATTTTATTCTTTGAATTTTACCCTTTTTCCCCCGTCCTCGGAGGGGTCGCTGACCGGCCTCCTTCCCTCCACTACCAACCTCTTCGCTTCCTTCCCCACCCTCGCAGAGGCGAAGAGGGAGTCCCCGCCGCGCTCGGGATTTTTCTCCCTGGCTTTCCGCGCCCTGCATAGCCCGTGGTCCCCGGGAGCGGAGACCGGGCAGCCCCCTCTCTGCCCGGCGCCAGCGCTCCCAGCCGTACTCGGCAGTCCGGGAACGGGGAAGGTAGGCTGAGGGGGGGAGGGGCCGGCTTCTTCTTCCTCCTCTTCCTCCTCCTCCTCCTTCTGCCGCTGCTGTGGGATCGGCCCCTCTGCCTGCACCGTAGGGGGGGGGGCAGCCTGCTACTGAGAGCGAGAGAAAGAGGAAGGGGAAAGAAGAAGGGGTGGGGGGAGCAGAGAGGGTGTTGAAACCCGCCCCCCACCTTCCCATCCCGCGATCGGTGCTGCCTCCATCAGGACAACAACCCCTCCTCCTTCCCTGCACAACAAGATGTGAAGCGGAGACTCCTGGGACTTATCCTCACCCTCCTCATCTTTACAGCTCCCCTTTCTGCAGCCATTAGCGACGGGCGAGGAAGAAGCGAGTGGAGCTGGGGACCCCGCGCACGCCTTGCCCCTGTCCCTGCCGCCACCTCCCCAGCCCTGTCGCTGGCGGTGGGTTTTTTTTTGCATGGTGGTGTTGGAGGGGGAAGGAGCTGCTGCTAGAGGACGGTGATCTTTTTTTCTTTTTTCCTCCTCCTCTCCCCTCCTTCGCCCGCCTCCTTGTGGCGATGAGGAGGAGGAGGACGGCGTCGAGGAGGAAGAGGCTGATGGCGGCGGTGAGGAGGCAGCAGGAGGAGGAGACCCCCCGAAGGATGAAGAAGATGATGGTGGCGGTGGCGAGGAAGCACCAGCAACACAACAGCCGGGATTAATTTTACAGAAGAAAAAAAAAAATCCAACAAAAAACAAACAACAAAACCAAAACCCCAACAGCGCTTTTTTATTATTATTTTTTTATTTCTTTTTTTTTTCTTTTTTTTTTTTGGTTGGAGCTTTACCTGCTTTTCCTATCTTCGCTCAGCCCTTTCGCCTGGGGGAAGAGGACTCTGCCTCCCCCCACCCCGCGCCAGCTCCCACCTTCTCCCCGCTTCTCCGCTGCCGCCCTCCCGGAGCCCGAGGGGCAGAAAAAGGGGAACTTGGCCCCCTCCTCCGCCAGATCCTCCTCGCTCGCTCTCGGCGTTATTGTTATTCTTCAGCTGCCTCGGGGCCCGAGAAGAAGGAGAAGGTTTTGGGGTTCACTCCTCCCCCACCTCTCCGCACCTCCCGTCTCTCTGCTCTGCGTGATTGTCTAAAAAAGAATTAAAAATGGCCGAGAATGTGGTGGAGCCGGGCCCGCCTTCAGCCAAGCGGCCTAAACTCTCCTCACCGGCGCTCTCCGTGTCCGCCAGCGACGGCACAGGTCAGTCTCGGGAGCCCTGTCTCTCCCCACCTTTTGGTACTGCAATTACTGCCCTTTTCTCCCCTCTTCTGCCTAAATCTCCTCCTCTCTCTTGCCGCTCTTCACTCTTGCCTGCCTTCGTCCTTTACGTCTGTCTTTCTCTCTGTTTTGCTCTGTTTGAACGTATTGGCGTTTAATGGCATCGGGAGAGCGCTCGGATGTTTCTGCCCTTCTATTTTTTCGGAAGTGATTGAAAGCAAAGCTGTTCAGTTTATTGTGCTTTTGATCAGCTGCAGATAAGATGTAACAGTTTGTCATTTTCGTGTGTTTCACAGTAGTAGTTATTTACTGAGCTCCTTGCAAACCATATATCTGTAATGCCACTTACAGAAAGTGCTGAGGATGATGCTTTTGTACACTTTATTGCTGAATTATGTATGTACGCTTGTACACATGTATGTGTCTTCTTATTTTGCATATACAAGGGGTTTTTTTACAGCTCGTTCAAAAATGAGATTTACTTCTCTGCTCTCTTCCATTTTTAATTCTTACATGCAGTCTTCTTATTTGCTTCACTTTTTACAGTCCTCCTTACTTTTCCTTGCAGAAGGATATCTCAAAACTGCTTTCCTGATTCTAAGAGACCATCGACTTTAAGAAAAAACAGCTAAAACCAAAATCCATGTCCCAAGCTTGGGGTGTAAGGTTTATTGAGGCTCTTATCATAGAATTAATGTTATTTCATCCTGTTTGCATTAAGAATCAATATGGAGTGTAGCTCATCTCACAGCTCACGTTTCTTTGCTGTGAGGCCAAAATGTCTGAAATTTCCCTGTAGACTGAAGAGTTTTGAAGATCCTCTGCAGTCCTGCAAAGGTCCTCGGTGATGCTATGCAGGCAAGCTAAATGTTGGGGATCTTAGGTGTCCCAATCCTAGCCAATATAAACTGGTTGTACTGGGGGGGGAGGGAGTAACAAAGGGCTGTTCAGCTTTTTAATGCTTTTTGAGAAGCAGATGAGTATTTGGTGTCATTTTGCAATGAGACTACTTGGTTACCTGTCCCACAGGAGTTTCTTTGAACTCACTTTAGATCTTCTTTTCCTGTGACACATGGAGGAGGCTTCCTCCTGCCAGAGTCTGAGTCGTGGTATTTCTGAAGCCACCACCGGTGGTCTTGCCCATGCTGTTAACAGCTGGCAAGAAAAAGAGTTGTTTCTTGTTTTGTTCATTTGTTTTTAGTGATTCTTATTTGGCAGTGAACAGAAGGCTTTAGTAGCCATTTTTGGTTGAGCAGTGTTTGTGATTCTACTTGGAATCATCAGGCAAATTTTGATTATTGCCTTCTCTGGTCTTCGTGAGTGATGTATTAGTTCTGAAAAAGTTTATGTGTAATGTAATGCGTATTAGGTACAGACAATGTTATGCTGTAGCTGGAGAACATGACTTGACTGTTCCTCATATCAACAGGTCTCTAGTAAGAGAGTAGAAGAGTGTTGGAGGTGCTGGTCTTCAGAGCTAGTTATTGGGGGTTTTGTGCTAGACTTGGAAACCAGTACTTAATTGAGTGGTAACCGGTTTTGTCTTTATAGGAGTTAGCTTGCTCTGTTTAGAGAGGTGAACTAAAAATACATGCTGTGAGAGAAGTCCCAATTTAAAGATGTATTTTAATTCAGATTAACTCACATATCTAAATTAGGACATTTGTGATCAGATAAGGTTTGGATAATCTGTGTCAGTTTAAGAGGTGCAGATTTTTGCAGAGTACTTAGTTTATTTTAATAATTAGTTCACTGGACAGCTTAGTGAACTTTTTGCAGTCATGCTGAAGCATCATGGATTGTTGGACAGCTTCGGTAGTGCACAAATGGGGTAATTTGTCTGAAAGTGATGGAGATAGTCATCACCAGATAGCTATGCAGAGGTTTATAGTGGTGCGAAGACTTTAGATACATGCTACATAAAAACTGTTAAAGGAGTC